CGGCGTTGTCGGTCTCGAGAGAGGCGGACACCAGTTTATGGGTCTTGTCTCGGCGTTCACCGACCTGGTGTGTCTGCTGAGGCGTGAGTACTCAATGAGTGACGAGGTCCGGGAAGCCCTGGCCCTTGCTCTGGATTTCTTGGTAGAACAGGAGCTTCTGATGAAACCATCGGAGTCATATCTGAGCGCTGCGAAGCAGTGCGGAGTCGGGGCAGGCCTCACACCGGTCGACCGGTGGTCCTCATCTGAGGATGCGCCATGGGCGGAGGTAATCTCTGCTCCTAGAACGATGTCGAGTGGCCCATGCGCCACAAGCCGTGTGTCGTCGGCCAAAGCGCCTGCCGCGACCGATGCAAGAGCGTCTGAGCAGCAGTCTGCTCCTCGCCCCAACGCGGGAAATGGGCCACAGACAATGGCTCAGCGCGTCCGGTCCTCGACGCCGCCCGCAACGGGGAGGCAGAGGCTGGGCCAAGCAATGGCCGATTTCGGCCAGTCAGCCGCAAGTCGCGGTCTCTCGCCGGCTGTTTGCGGCAATCAGAGGGGGACAATACCTGCAAAGCCAGCGCAGGCGTGCGGGTATAGTCCGACCACGACTGGTGGTCCGTCTAAAACAGGCGGCCACAGAGTAGATTTGAAGCCTGCTACCGGGAAGCAGTTGTTGAAGGCTAAGCCTGATCCTCCCGAGCTTCCCAAGGACGCGTACTCTGATGACTTTCCATCCCTGTCCAAGCGCGAAGCCGCTAACAGATGGAGAGGTGGGGCCGCAAGGGGTCCCAGCTGCGCGCCACCTAAGGTGGGAGGGTCGTTGCCATGCCTGTCTTCGGCCGCTGGCCCTCCGCCAAAGGGTGCCGCTCCTTGTGCTAAAGGACCCGAGGTCAAAGCACCTGAGGTCACGGGCCCACCCGTGCCTAAAGCGGCAGGTGCTGACGCACCGACCGATGGGGGTTCGGGGGGATGCGCTCCCGCGAATAGCGAGATCACGCACCCTCGGCCCGAGGTTCCACCGCGGAAGGCAGTGAAGAGCCCCCCGGCTAGTCTGTCTGAGCCGGCGAAGCCTAACCAGGCGGAGCCGCCACCTAAGCGTGGGGACCGCGTTCCAGATGTCGCTGGTGGGGATAATCCTCAACCAGGAGACAGCACTCCGTCCCTGTCGACCGATGCGTCGATGGGGATGGCTTCCCATCCCGAAGCATCCAAACCCGTTGGTCAGGATGTACAGCCCGAACCTGCGGATGCAGGCGGGGCCAAAAGGGCTTCACCCAGCCAAGGCGCTGCGGGTGAAGACAATGATGGGGACGGCGATGGGGCGGAGGGAGATTCCCCTACCTCCCCTGCCGATGAGCTCCCGGGCCGCGACGATCCTATGGATGGGAGCGGGACTGGTGGGGATGGTGGACCCGATGCGCCCGCTGAAAGCGCGGATGCCTGCATCGCAGTGCACTACCTGTTCCGGAGAGCAGGTTACCCGCCAGCGTTGGCGGCGTGGAGGAATGGGGCCTGGCCAAGGCGCCTTCTTTACCCTATTCAGGCTAATTCCATTGAGGATGCCCTCGCTCTACCTCTGTGGCAAGGCCTGTCAGAGGATGAGTTTTTCCAGCTGCTGGACAATGCTTCAGCAACTGATCGTCGCTTCGGCGAGTACGACTGGGATTTCCTGTCAAAGGCCATTATGTCTGACACGATGAATGCCGATGAAATTCATCACGCGGGAGCCAAAGCGCTTGCTGATTGGGCTGAGGAGAACCTTGGGCCATTGTCGATTGGCCCTCGGTCGGACCTGGTCGCACGGTTTAATCAGATGCAGACCGAAGGGAGGCATCCAAACAGGGAATCGGCAAATGAGTCTAGTGTCGGCTCAGGGAAACAATATGTTCCCCGTCCTCCGCTGGAGGATCAGCCGAACTCGAACCAGATCTCCGCCGACGTATTCCGCGGTCGAGAGGTCCGGTTGGGGCTCACTCTGCCCGACTCCCAAAGCGGAGAAGATGAGCTCAGCGCGCAGGACGCAACGTGGAACGTTGAATACTGCGACTTTTACAAGGCCGCCGCGAATCTGTGGCGTGCAAGATCATGCTTGCGCGAAGCCGCGGGATGCATGATTGAAACTGGGTATATTCACCCTCAGATGGCTGCGGCCATTGCGGCGACCGAAAAGGTCGAAAGATTTTGTAATGTTCTTCGGGCTGCCAACCGCTATGCCGGTTTGGGCACGTATCGATTCAATGAAATCGTGGGTAGGAATCTGCTCAATGGATACGACGGCTGGAGAACACCTCCGAGGGAGGATGATCATCCCGAGTTCCTTGCTCGGGAAGTTGAGGACGTTTTCCGTTCCTATTGCGCGGGCCTTTTGAGGTCTGAAAGTTTCGACCTCAAGTCCTGCGTAATTGAACCGGAGTCGGAGCCCAAGGCGGAGCCGGCTCCCAAAATGAAGCCACCTCCTCCATCTCTGTCGGCCAGTAAGGGCCTTCCTAGGCGATCGGCGCCTGCTGTCCATACTGGGTCGGCACACACCGCCAAGCGTCCGCGAGAGGCTGGCGGTGGCTCCACTGGGAACGTGCAGATCCCAGGGCATTATTACGGCAAAGCCCGTACAAAGGAATCCCCTGTCCAACCCTCTGATCCGCCAATGGGCAGAGCAGGGGGGAGCGCACAGCCATCCGAAATGGATGTGGACAAGGAGGGGAGTAAGGGTGACGAGAAGAAGGACAAAGCGGCCAATGAGGCTGCTGTAGCGTCAAAGAGCGCAAAGCCGCATCCGGCGAAAACGTCGCGTCCCGAGGCCCTAGGCGGCTCGTTGGACGTGACGCTAATCAGCGACGTACGGGAGCGTGATCGGGATATTTCCGATGATGAGTTTTCCCCTACGAACGTGTGCATGTTTCCGGAATCATGGGAGGGCGTAATGCCGACCTCCGTGATTGACAAGGCCGGAGGCTTTGAGCAGTTTAGGAACGAGCTCATGAGGATCCAGAGAGTCCTGGATTCTCCGGCGTTGGTCGACCTTGGTAAGGTCGATCTGGACGCTCTGGGCGAGCCGCCCAAGGAGTACGTCTCGGATGAAGATCACGAGAGTTATGTAGACGATGATGGAATGGGTCCATATGTGGACAAATTCTCATCAATGGGTGACCGCGACCTAGTGCCCTCAAAGCAGGAGCCGCCTTACTATGAGGCAAAGGCGTGGCGCACCACTGAAGAAGAAATTGAAAGGATGAAGAACCTTTTTCCATTCTTTCGTGCCGAAAATTATCGGCTTATGTCTGCGAGTACTGGTCCAATAGGTACCAAGTCGCACGTACAGGGCGTCCTCCCAACAGGTGCGTCGTTGGAAGAGGCACTGATGGCTAAGCCCGGTGTGTGCCCGATTACGAGCACCTACAACCTCACATACGAGGGTGAAGAGGTTGTGATTGATGCACAGGGCGGGATAGCAGGCAGAATCGCCTGTCCTGCCGGAAATGACATCTTCCATTTTTTTCCCCGAAATTAGGGATGTGTCGGCGTTTGTTGGACGAAGCTCCAGGGAATCGCAAATGCTGCTAGAAGTTTTGTCGGGCAACACTGACCCTACGCGGTTAAACGTGAAGCCCGGTGAGCAGCCTCCCTTCTTGTTTGGGACGGTTCCAGACATTCTGGGAGGTTGGATGTCAATGACTCTGATCTCAACGCTACTTGAGGCCCTATACGGGATCCACAAGTGCACGAGTGTCGAGGTAGCGACCTGGGCGGGTGCTCTCGCAAAGGAAAGCCCATCGTACCCTCCAGTCGAGCTCCTAATACGGACAGTCTGGAGGACAGATGGCGCGAGTGTGCGCCCGAATGAGGTGCTTTTTGCGCGGTCCACCCTAATCGGGAGGGACGTGCCGTTCAAAGTTTTCAAGCGTTGGGCCGCTGCTGCTGCTGGAGATGGAACTCATCAAGGTGCTGCGGTGAGGATCACGGATGCGCTGCACCGCTGCCGGTGAAGTCCTACTCGGACCTGAACCGCTGATTGCAGCTGGTGGTGTTCCTACTGAAGGTCTTTGTGTGATCGCGCGCCTAGACGGTGCTACTTTAAAGACCAAGGTCTTGTGGTCAAAGCACCATGTTTCAACCAGTAGGCCAATGCGCCTAAATCATGAATTCAGGAACTAAATCCACTTGAACCTTGCGGTTCGTTGTGGTTGCATTGCAAATGTAATTTTATTTCATGCCTGCCATTCTGGAGTTAAATCTTTGTTTCTGTTTCTTTTTGCTTTCTCTTGTTTGATTTGGCTACCGGCGCGAATCCGCCCCATACCCGTAATTCGGGGTGGTGGCGGGATCCGGGCACCAATGAGTGCCCGGGTATGGGGCCGCGAACCCTGGTAGCCTAATCGGCTCTGTTTTCTTTTTATTTGCTTTTCAACTTCAACATGGCCAATGCGCCCTTCCAAATTCACTCCTTCTCTTTGTACAGGCGAGGGGGGTGTTTTTGGGGGCATGTACTTCTATCATAGCATGTTTCATGCCGAAGCCCAACGCGGCTTTTGGCTCAAGCTTTTCACCTGGCATTCATTGCTCGCCATTTCGTCGGGAAAAGATCACGGCGCACCTTCACACCGGCCTCGTGTTTACGCGGCCGTTGTGCCTGGGGCGGTGTTCTTTGTCCTGGAGGTGGGTCGGGCTATTGTTTGAGGTGCGCTGCTATTGCTTGCTTTGCTCGCTTGGTGCTGCTTGCTGCTGGTTTGCCTGCCTGCTCTGCGCTGTGCTGCGCTTCTGCTTGGTTTCTTCTTGTTACAACGAGGCACCCCTTTTGGTTCGTGTTAGTGCCGGCCGAGGGCAACCGCTTTGCCCTTGGGACCGGGGGGATAAGGTGGTCTCTTCTTGTTGGTGGGTTAGGGCCTGTTTTATCCATCCCGAAACTCTGTTTCAAACCCTTTCGCGCTTTTACATGTGGGTGCAAAGGAGGAGGCAGCTGAGTCGTGCCAGCCGATGGTGAAACTCAGGATAGCCTGATGCCCGTTTCATTGTCTGAGGTGTGGCCATGTTCAACATGAACCCGCGAGTCAGCGACAGCCCGCTGGATGCCCCGCGCGACTTCAAGGCTTATTGCCAGCAGGCGCGGGGCCATAGTTCTGGGCGGGAGTTGCCGTGGTTGTGTTTTTGTTTGTTCGGTTGTGTGCAAACACGCACTTCACCGGCCAAGCGTCGACCATTTTCTGTACCCAGACGCTCCCGATTCATTATGGGCCCTCCAACCGCCAGGTTTTGAGACCCCGCCTCTGGGGTGTCCAATGGAGGGTCTGGGTCTTCCATTGGAAGCCGAAGCCAGGAGCCTCTGGGTAAAGCAGTCGTGGTTCTCGTCAACCGGATGCGGAAAGATCCGGCCACTTCGGGGTGGCTCGCACTGTCTGGGCTCGTGAGGTGAAGCTGAAGTTCCGGGCCGTGGTCACAGCAGCTGTGGAGATGGGGGCGGAGGCAGGGCTCAGTGCAGCTAGGCCGCGCGAAGCGCGCGATCCGGTGAGAACCGGTGCTCAGGTCCTTGTGTGCCCAGATGTGGGCTGCGGGGTCTTCGGAAACGAGCCCAAGGCGGGGAAGAGATGGACGGCAAAGCATGCCAGTGGCTCGTCTGAGATCGCCCGAGTCTTGTCGAATTCTTTGAGCAGGACAAGTCGCATTCGGCAGGTTCTGGGCACTTTGCTCGGGGAGGTGCTGCGGGAACCGCAGGCGCAGAACCTGAATGAGGCCCTGCAGGGGGATTTGGCGCCAACCGAGAGGGGCGGACCTCTTTTTGGTCCTGTGTCATTTAGACGGCAGCACCTAGACGCCGAGAACCCTTGGCCATTTCATAGCAGGATTGTACTTGGTTGAGAAGCATCAGAGGGGACCCAGACAAGCCGTGCAACAAGTCTGGCACAGTTAACTATAGAGCAAAATGCTATGGACAAGGGCCATGACACGTTGACTGGCCAATGTACTCCGGTGGTGGGTGTGGGCCAGAGCCGCATCCCGGCAGAGCGCGGAGTGGCAAGGTGATTTTTTGGGCCGGAACCAAGCTTACCCATTGGGGAACCAAACGGGCACAGTCTTTGCTCTCCAGGTGCTGGTCACGGGCCAAGTGGCCTTTGCAGAGGCCGTGCGCAAGGCGGCCGGCGGCGAGAAGGCCTGGCGGTGCGCTTTGCGCGCGCTCGCTCGCGCGCGCGCGCGCGCCTGCGGAGAAGCCAATCGCCTACGAGAGGTGGAGCTGTCGCCCCCCGCCTACTTCGCGGCGGTCTACGGCAAAACCGGGAAGCCCGGGGGCTTGAGGGGTTTGGGTTTGAATGAAGTTAGTGCTTCAGGTTTGATGGCAAACATGGTTCTGAGATCCTGGCGTATTTAAATGAAGCGAATCATCAAGTCCTTGAGTGTGTTGTGTGTATGTGCTTGTTTTGCTTGCTTGTTTGCTTGTGTGCTTGGTTGTTTGTTTGTTTGTTTGTTTGTTTGTTTGTTTGTTCGTTGGACTGGTCGCTCAGTCGCTCGCTCGATTGGTTGGTCGTTTGGTCGCTTGGTCGGTCGGTCGTTTGCTTGTCGGTTGGCTGGCTGGTTGGTTGGCTGGTTGGTTGGTTGGTTGGTTGGTTGGTTGGTTGGTTGGTTCGTTGGTGAGCGCATGTGTAGTTGTGAGGGAAATATGATATTTTGCATTGTGAGTTGCTCGTCTCGTTAACAATCATGCATTGCCGAATAAGCCTAATATGTACTCTCACCTGTGAAAGTCGTTGCGTTTGGTTTTGGCAGCATGTTTTTCGTGTAATACGCACACGAAACGCATCCGGTAGGGTCGTTGCAACTCCGTGTGCCAGTGGCGTTTAGTTTAGCATGTTTTCAAGAGACAATTGCTGCGTGATATTGAGGTCTTTTTTGTAGAGAAATACATGCTGAACGTGGTCCCCTGAGATGGTTTCATTGATCAAGTTGAGGTCTTTTGGGTAGGCCGAACGCACTGGCACACATGGAAAACACCTTCCCTCGATCGCGGTTTGTGTTGGTGATGTTGAGGCATTTTGGGTGGCCAATCGCATTGGCACACGCCTGAAAAAACACTTACTGGGTCCTTGTGGTTACACGCCCCGCAAGCCATGATCTCGCGCCGCAAGCAGTGTGCCAGTGGGGAAAGCTATTTAGGGTCATGATCATGCTGTCTTTTATGATGTGTGGCATGAAGCCATTTTGAATCAAATCGCATGGGTACACTCGTTTCACTTAGATGTTGCTGACGATGCAAGTGCTACCCCAGCCCCCCACCGTACACAAAGCCAAGTGTCTGGTGTGCCATGGGGGACCGGATGCTTTGAGGAGTGTTTGGTGAAGGGGCGCTGTTGCACGTTGAGGCCCACTCCCGTCACAAAACGCAATGGCACACTGCCTCCGGCCAAGATAATGAGAAGATTCAGTCAACTAACACATGGGAGTCTGGTTCCTTGTGTTGTTCAGCTGTGTGCCAGTAGGATTCGAGGTGATAGAAGTTGCAGGCTTAGATGTTGCTGGCGACGCAAGTGCTACCCCAGCCCCCCACTGTACACAAAGCCAAGTGTCTGGTGTGCCATGGGGGGCCGGATACTTTGAGGAGTGTTTGGCGAAGGTGCGCTGTTGAATGTTGAGGCCCACTCCCCATCACAAAACGCAATGGCACACTGCCTCTGGCCAAGATAATGAGAAGGTTCAGTCAACTAACACATGAATCGCATTGGCACACGCAGTCATCCTCAACAAGATTCCTAGAACAGCTTGCGTTGTTGAAGCTGGGGCTTTGCGAGGCCAATCGCATTGGCACAATCAATCATCCTCAACAAGATTCCTAGAACAGCTTGCGTTGTTGAAGCTGGGGCTTTGGGAGGCCAACCGCCGTGGCACACGCAATCATCCTCAACAAGATTCCTAGAACAGCTTGCGTTGTGGAAGCCGGGGCTTTGGGTGGCCAATCGCACTGGCGCACGCAATCATCCTCAACAAGATTCCTAGAACAGCTTGCGTTGTTGAAGCTGGGGCTTTGTGAGGCCATTCGCATTGGCACACGCAATCATCCTCAACAAGATTCCTAGAACAGTTCGCGTTGTTGAAGCTGGGGCTTTGGACGGCCAAGCGCGTTGGCACACGCAGTCATCCTCAACAAGATTCCTAGAACAGCTTGCGTTGTTGAAGCTGGGGCTTTGGGAGGCCAACCGCCTTGGCACACGCAATCATCCTCAACAAGATTCCTAGAACAGCTTGCGTTGTGGAAGCCGGGGCTTTGGGTGGCCAATCGCACTGGCGCACGCAATCATCCTCAACAAGATTCCTAGAACAGCTCGCGTTGTTGAAGCTGGGGCTTTGGAAGGCCAAGCGCGTTGGCACACGCAGTCATCCGCAACAAGATTCCTAGAACAGCTTGCGTTGTTGAAGCTGGGGCTTTGGGAGGCCAACCGCCTTGGCACACGCAATCATCCTCAACAAGATTCCTAGAACAGCTTGCGTTGTGGAAGCCGGGGCTTTGGGTGGCCAATCGCACTGGCGCACGCTTGAAAAACACGTATCTTCAACAAGTGCTTGTAATACGTATTAGGCTAAGGCCGACAGTCTGCTTAACACATCAGTTGGTTTCAACGGCCTGCTTTTCAGGCTGAGGCCTAGGTGGGTTGCGGCTGCACGTTTTCTTTCTTTTCGGACTCGTTTTAGACTCGTTTTTGGACTCGTTTTTGGACTCGTTTTTTTCCTGGGTAAACTTGCCAAAAACTTAACACAAGGCACCTCCTACTACTGCTACTACTACTACTACTACCACGACTACTACTACTACTACTACTACTACTACTACTACTGCTTCTGCTACTACTACTACTACTACTACTACTACTACTACTACTACTACTACTACTACACTACTACTACTACTACTACTGCTACTGCTACTGCTACTGCTACTACTACTACTGCTGCTGCTGCTGCTACTACTACTACTACTACTACTACTACTACTACTCCTGCTGCTGCTGCTGCTGTGCTACTACTACTACTACTACTACTACTACTACTACTACTACTACTACTACTACTACTACTACTACTACTACTACTACTACTACTACTACTACTACATATATATATATATGTTTAAACAGTGCTCGGTTGCGGTTGGTTCTGCGATGTGCCATGGGGGTTGCTTGTATTTGGCGCTTCGAGAAATGTGTTCAAGATGTTTGGTTGCCTTTGGGTATGCATGTGCCATGGGGATTGCCTTCACACTAGCACATGAACTTGTGTTTGAAAGAATTGTTTCAGTGTTGTTGAGCATGCGATGTGCCATGGGGATTGCCTTCTTTTCGGCGAGCAAGCATACATAGTCAAGGAACATTTCGGTCCCAACTGGTATGTGATGTGCCATGCTGGTTGCCTTCTTACTCATACTTAGACATGTGTGCTTCAAATGCGTTTAAGCGCCTTGTAATATGCAATGTGCCACGGGCATTGCGTCCGTAGCGGCGCTCACCATGGCACATGCATACCCAAAGGCAACCAAACACATCTCGAAAACATCTTTTCGAAGCACAAAAATGAAGGCAACCCCCATGGCACATTGCATAATCAACCGCAACGTGTCTCCTAATACTGCTTTGTTTGAGTGCCGCTACAGACGCAATCCCCATGGCACGTCGCAGATTACAAGGCGCTTAAACGCATTTTAAGCACACATGTCTAAGCATGAGTAAGAAGGCAACCAGCATGGCGCATCGCATACCAGTTGGGACCGAAATGTTGCTTGACTATGTGTGCTTGCTCGCCAATAAGAAGGCAATCCCCATGGCACATCGCATGCTCAACAGCATCGAAACAATTCTTGCAAAAACAAGTTCATGTGCTAGTACGAAGGCAATCCCCATGGCACAAGCACACCCAAAAGCAACCGAACACATCTTGAAAACACCTTTTCGAAGCACAAAAATGAAGGCAACCCCCATGGCACGTTGCATAATCAACCGCAACGTGTCTCCTGAAACTGCTTTGCTGGATTGCCTTCGTACTAGCACACGAACTTGTTTTTGCAAGACTTGTTTCGATGTTGTTGAGCATGCGATGTGCCATGGGGATTGCCTTCTTTTTGGCGTGCAAACACACATAGTCAAGCAACATTTCGGTCCCAACTGGTATGCGATGTGCCATGGGGATTGCCTTCTTACTCGTACTTAAACATGTATGCTTAAAATGCGTCTAAGTGCCTTGTAACATGCGATGTGCCACGGGGATTGCGTCCGTAGTTGTACTCAAACAAAGCAGTTTTAGGAGATCGCGGTTGATGATGCAATGTGCCATGGGGGTTGCCTTCATTTGTGTGCTTCGGAAAGATGTTTTCAAGATGCATCTGGTTGGCTTTGGGTATGCGTGTGCCATGGGGCTTGCCTTCGTACTAGCGCATGAACTTGTTTTCGCAAGAATTGTTTCGATGTTGTTGAGCATGCGATGCGCCATGGGGATTGCCTTCTTTTTGGCGAGCAAGCATACATAGTTAAGCGACATTTCGGTCCCAACTGGCATGTGATGTGCCATGCTGGTTGCCTTCTTACACGTATGCTTAAATGCGCTGAAGTGCCTTGCAATATGCGATGTGCCATGGGGATCACGTCCGTAGCGGCGCTCAGACAAAACAGTTCTAGGAGACACATTGCGGTTGATTATGCAATGTGCCATGGGGGTTGCCTTCAGTTTTGTGCTTCGAAAAGATGTCTTTGAGATGTGTTTGGTTGCCTTTGGGTATGCATGTGCCATGGGGATTGCCTTCGTACTAGCACACGAACTTGTTTTTGCAAGACTTGTTTCGATGTTGTTGGGCGCGATGTGCCATGGGGATTGCCTTCTTTTGGCGTGCAAACACACATAGTCAAGCAACATCTTGGTCCCAACTGGTATGCGATGTGCCATGGGGATTGCCTTCTTACTCGTACTTAAACATGTATGCTTAAAATGCGTTTAAGTGCCTTGTAACATGCGATGTGCCATCGGGATTGCGTCCGTAGTGGTACTCAAACAAAGCAGTTTTAGGAGACGCTTGGGCGCCGTGTGCCAATAGGGAAGGCTCAGTTGCAAGGACCCTGCCGGGACTACTCGTTGCGTTGTTTTTACTGGCAGGCTGCGGACTTTCAAGAAAAACACGAAAATGCAAGGACTTTCGCGTTTGGGTGTACATGTGCGTGATTGGAGGCCAACCCGCAGGGTTGACACCCTTCAGAGAATTGACGCATTCCACAGTAAGAAAGGCAGCTGGGTATGTGCTTTTCACGCTGTGGCCGGACAAAATCCACTTCGACCTACGAAACCCTGGTTTCTGATTCGATCCCCTGCAAATACCAATGAACGTTGTGGTCTTGCAAGGTTTGCACGAATTGCAGGATTTTGTCAACCGACAGTACGTGTAAGTAAATGTAAACAAACAAATAGACAAATTCATATAACCATATATGCTACCCCCCCGGGACGGATCTACCTGTTGATATATATATATATATACACACATAGATGTGTACTTTCACGGTGCGATTTCCGGATTTCGCGTCCATGGGGATTTCTCCGCTTCGCGTTCTGCCAGAAGCGGCGGCCGCGGCGGACGGCAGCCTGCGAACCCCACCGTGGTGGTGGCCACGGCGGGGTCCTTTTGGGCGGGTTTCCAAGTTGTGGGGGAGTTGGTTTGTTTAAAATAGATGGGTTCCACTGGTTTAGATGGTTTATTCCATTTACCAGGGCAAGAATGCCGGACCTCTGATTCATGACCTCAAATAAAGTTCAGGGAAGGTCCACATGGGCGTCCTTTATATAGGTTACTTTGCTTAAAAAATAGGGAAAGTTTCAAAGGGAACACCGAAAGGGGCGGTATGAGTTTGTCCCTTGATTGATGATTGTTGATCTTGTTTTGAGCCTTGTAACAAGTTTCATTTTGTCCCCTGGGTTTGATTTGAGCTGGTTCTCAGATGGTTGATCTTCTTTTGAGCCAAGCGCCGTGGGGGTTGGTTGGTCCTGAGCAGTCTGGAATTCACGAGGTTGCCGCGCCGGCATCAGAAGGCGGGGACTGAACGTGGGACTGGGAAGATGTGGGCAGGCATGGGCTCATGACGGATGCAGAAGGCATGCCTTTCTGGCCATACCCATACCTTTCCCACATTCTGCAGACGAGTTGCACTCAAGTTCCTTTTTTCATGAAGCTTTTTGCCATGCCAGATGGTGCTGCAATTGATTGACGATTGTTCATATTTGTGTCAACTGTCCCTGTGGTCAGTGCTCCTATTTGCTCGAGCGCAGCATTCACACCTTACGGCGCAGCATGGGGTGTTGACAGGGTTGCTGGAGGAGGGATGGCCTGCCAGGTTCTGGCAGCCGGGTCACACCAGTGCAGCAGGCGCAACAGTCAGTTGCCCCATTCACAGGTCACCCATCACCTCTGGGCTGTTAAGTATTTCAGTCCAGCAATCTGCCGCTTTGGTGGGACATTTCTGTTTTTGAGCCTTGCGGAGAACGCACATTGGAAAGGATCAGGCAGGTCTCGAGCCTCTTATTGTTGGATTAGGAATGCTTACCAAGTTCGACCACCGTGGCTTGACGAGGTTGCCGCGCCGGCAGCAGGAGGCGCGGAATGAATGTGGGACTGGGAAGGTGTGGGCAGGCATGGGCTCATTATAGATGCAGAAGGCATGCCTTTCTTGCCATACCTTTCCCACATTTTGCAGACGAGTTGCACTCAAGTTCCTTTTTTCATGAAGCTTTTTGCCATGCCAGATGGTGCTGCAATTCATTGACGGTTGTTCATATTTGTGTCAACTGTCCGTGTGGTCAGTGCTCCTATTTGCTCGAGCGCGGGCAAGAGAACGAGAGGGAGCATTCACACCTTACGGCGCAGCATGGGGTGTTGACAGGGTTGCTAAGGGATGGCCTGCCAGGTTCTGGCAGCCGGGCCACACCAGTGCAGCAGGCGCAACAGTCAGTTGCCCCATTCACAGGTCACCCATCACCTCTGGGCTGTTAAGTATTTCAGTCTAGCAATCTGCCGCTTTGGTGGGACATTTCTTTTTTGGAGCCTTGCGGAGAACGCACATCGGAAAGGATCAGGCAGGTCTTGAGCCTCTTATTGTTGGATTTGGAATGCTTACCAAGTTCGACCACCGTGGCTTGACGAGGTTGCCGCGCCAGCAGCAGGAGGCGCGGAATGAATGTGGGACTGGGAAGGTGTGGGCAGGCATGGGCACGGATGCATCGGGCATGGCTCTCTTAGTAGGGACGGATCCGCGTGTAAAAATCGGTAAGAGCTTTGGAGCTAAGAAGGCAATCCAGAGCAAGCACATGGACAGTTCCACGCTGGCCTAGGATCTGAAAGCCGTGGCCCAGCGCAGGCGCGTCAAACTTCCGGCTGACCAGAATATGCCTCCGTCTCACTCCGCCGACATTGGCCTCCCCTTTCTCTGATTTGAGAGTAGATGGCTCAAAAAATTGGGGGGGAGTGCCATCTACTATTGACAAACGGAGATTATCAATTATCGCAAAATTATCGGACATGTTCTGGCCAGAGTAGATGGCACAACTCTTTTTTGGTTTTCTGAACACCCGGCTTGGGTGGTTGTGGCCAAGGACTTTTTTTTCTCGTACGAATATGTAATTAAGTGGTGGCAACACTAAATTTAGGGGCAATACCAAAGTTGGTGCTGGCAATACTAAGTTTGATACAAACAATACTACATTTAGTCCTGGCAATACTAGATTTGGTTTTAGCTGTTTGAAGTGAGTACTCGGAGGATTCGCTTGGCAACGCGCGTGCACTTTCAACGTTTCCAGCTTTCCGTAGACCGCCTTTGCGGGGCATACGCAAAGATAGCACAATATGAAGCCTGGCACAAACAGTAAGACATTTGTATAAATTTGTATCGGCAGTACTGAAGCTAGTGTTTGCATGCTAAATCTAATACATGTTACATCAAGTACCCGTAACATTAAACTTAGCATTGGCAATACTAATTTTGGTACTGATACTGTTTCTATCACTGGCAATCTAGTTTACTTTGCAACAAATACATGTACTGGCAACATGAAAGTTGCTCATTTTTTCGGGCCAGAGCAGGAGGGGACCGCCCAACTTACGCTCTGCCCCTCTGCCATCACCAGCCCCTTTATCGCCCCAGCTCCCCCGGCTCCGGCCCAGCGCCGGCCGAAGGCTCAGGAGGGTTGCGCCATCTACTTTTGTCAACAGCGCACCAACTTACGCTCTGCCCCTCTGCCATCACCAGCCCTGCGCTCACCCAGCTCATCGCCCCGGCTCCGCCCAGCGCCGGCCGAAGGCTCAGGAGGGTTGCGCCATCTACTTTTGTCAACAGCGCCCAACTTACGCTCTGCCCCTCTGCCGTCACCAGCCCCTTTATCGCCCCGGGCTCCCCCCGGCGGCTCCGGCCCAGGCCGGCCGAAGGCTCAGGGAGGGTTTGCGCCATCTACTTTTGTCAACAGCGCCCAACTTACGCTCTGCCCCTGCTGCCATCACCAACCTTGCGCTCACCCAGCTCATCGCCCCGGCTCCGCCCAGCGCCGGCCGAAGGCTCAGGAGGGTTGCGCCATCTACTTTTGTCAACAGTGCCCAACTTACGCTCTGCCCCTCTGCCATCACCAGCCCTGCGCTCACCCAGCTCATCGCCCCGGCTCCGCCCAGCGCCGGCCGACTTTTGTCAACAGCGCCCAACTTGTGCTCTGCCCCTCTGCCATCACCAGCCCTGCGCTCACCCAGATCATCGCCCCGGCTCCGCCCAGCGCCGGCCGAAGGCTCAGGAGGGTTGCGCCATCTACTTTTGTCAACAGCGCCCAACTTACGCTCTGCCCCTCTGCCTTCACCAGCCCTGCGCTCACCCAGCTCATCGCCCCGGCTCCGCCCAGCGCCGGCCGAAGGCTCAGGAGGGTTGCGCCATCTACTTTTGTCAACAGCGCCCAACTTACGCTCTCGCCCCCTCTGCCCATCACAGCGCTGCGCTCACACAGCTCATCGCCCGGCTCCGGCCCTGCGCCGGCCGATAGGGCTCAGGAGGCGTTTGCGCCATCATACCTTTTGTCAACAGCGGCCCAACTTCGCTCTGCCCCTCTGCATCACCAGCCCTGCGCTCACCCAGCTCATCGCCCGCCCAGCGCCGGCCGAAGGCTCAGGAGGGTTGCGCCATCTACTTTTGTCAACAGCGCCCAACTTACGCTCTGCCCCTCTGCCATCACCAG